ATCAGATCTTTCTCATGAAAATATTTATACACTCTCAAATCGATGATTTCACAAGTACCGGCTTGCTTTCCATATGATTGCCGATAACATACAACCAATAACCAACTTCAAAAGTAGCAAGCCAAGCGAACAAGAAAGAGACAATGACAGCAAATTTAGCACACCATTTTCGTTGATACCACGGACAGGAAGATGATTGATCTTCTACAATAAATGACAATTCTCAAAATAGAATTACCTAGCAATGATTATGTATACCTCTTGTGCAATAGTATTCAACAATGGTGAAGATCTTCGGTTCGGATTCGTTTAAAATCCACTTACATGGCCGGCTACCAATGAATACGAAACCAAGAAATCCAATACCGATTAGAACGCAAGAGCCAAGTATCTGATATCGATAAAGAATAGCCTAAATTCCAATCAAAAAATAAAACTAATGCTTTGTAAACAAAAATATTTTCTTCAAAGACTTGCTTACATCGTCAGGCATTGTGTAATAAGATTTCATACCGAATGCGAAGATTTCAGATGCAGCTACATAGACAAAGATCCAAAGAGCAATTGTTCTAAATATTTTCTTGCATGATAGCGGATTCTAAAATAAAAAAAGTTTATTTTTCGAATTGTTTACAAATAAAAATGAAACTTGATAAACTAATTCAATGTTTAACGTATTTTAACATAAATAAAGGTTATCTTTATTTTTAATAATAAGGCTTTACCAATGTTTTCTGCAACGTTTTTTCCGATTGATCTATGGATAATATCGGTAAATCTTGCCATTGCTCAGCAATATTCATTTTAACTTCGTCACGATTCTGTGGATGTATACTAGTCATTGTCTGTTACCGTTGCCAAATGTAAAAAGACCTAATGAAAATGCTACATTTTTTTATAGTACGACACAGAAAAGAAAAAGATTGAATCTATATTGTGAACTCTGTCGATCAACCGACTTTGCCCGACGACTGACCTCATGACAAAGTAACAATTTTTCTTCGTCGACATAGGTCAACGCACGAGGTGATTCATCATTCTACTCGGAAAAGGATTGAATAACTCTGCTACTGCTTCACTAAAGGTACTATTTCTTTTGCCAATGAGAAAGAAGTACACATAGTGCATATTCATTAGAAAAAAAATCTGGATGTTGGTGTGGGTGAAGTCTCTAGTGACAACTGAATTTCGTTCTAGTCAACACTTCTCTGATGAATATATATCTATACTTTACCGTTACTGTTGGCCAGTATAATTGAACAGCTAGCTTTTCATATTTTATTGAACTAAATTCTTTTCAATCTTTTGAATAGAAATCGAGTCAATGCATTAATAACAAAGACATAAAGAGCAAAATTATGAAGGGCGTATTGATATTAGGGCTGCGAGACTTTATGATAAAAAAGAAAGTTTCTCCTTTTTGGAAATTTTTCTGAATGCTTTCCAATGTTCTGATTTTATGAAGCTCACATATATTTTCGAGAAAAATAGTAAGTGTAAGCTTAAATCGAGTTTGTGCGGCTTCCTCTTTCCTTCCGCTATTAAAGACAGCTTCCCATTACAGACCATTACAAACAGGGTCAGAGTGCGCGTTAAAACTGATCAAGTCACAACTCGTGTTATAATTTTTGAGTTACAAGCAATAAACTTTCCGGTGAAAAAAGTTAATTGAGTTATAACTGTCAACCATAGTTATAACTATTAACCATTTTAACCTGATGAATTTCTTTTGAATTCTGAGATGGGTGTGGGCGTCATCGAAATTAAGAGACATATCTATATCCACACCCAAATTGATTGTGATTTCTGTTGAATAATAGCTTAGATGTTACATTTCAAATAGATATATTCAATACCTCTTCAACTTTGAATATAGTTAAGATACACGAAAAATAAAAATGGGGTCGTTACTTATGAAACATCCTTTATCAAATGTGCAAAAATAATATGTCTTATATAGTGAATTGAGCTCAATTCAATTCGAAATGTTTTGCTTTGGCTGATAGATGAATAATTTCTGATCTATTATTTATTTGCTTAGAAGGACAAATGATATTAAGCAAGATATATGATTCTCTCTGAAAGTATTGTCATGAGACACAAAGTCTTCTTGGAAAAGTGTATAAATAAGGTGAATCGAATCTTCTTTCGAGAAAACTCAATCGCTGGAGATCGGAATAAGAAACATAACCAATCAAGTGTATCGAATCAATATTCGACTGATTGATGTTGTTCACAAGATTAAAACATGGAGAACGTTAAATGAGACCTCACGTCACTATCGATCAATACTGACTTTTCTTAGGAAAAAAGAGGGTGTGGGTGTGAGTATGGTTGTGGATGTGTGGGTGTTAATCTTTTCTTCATTCATACTCACACCCACAGTCACACACACCACCCCAAATAAAAATCTTGTCCTGTTCTACAGGACAGGACAACAGGACCGTCCTGCTCTGTGCTCATCTCTGGTATGAACTAACATGCCAAGGTAGAGCTGCGTTAGTTTCTTCGTTAATGGTAACTGAAAAAAGTAATCTCACAATGAACTAAACATAAAAAGATGATGTCAATAAGAGCATAAAAAAATTTACACCACGATTTTCTTATATTCAAGAACATACTCATAACAGTACGATAAATATTAGTTTCCAGTTCTATAAAGGATTCAATTGTTTGACTGAAATCTCTAGTCTACATTGCAATTAGTAGAAGACTATTGACTCAAGAACAACAATACAGAGAAGAACTTGCATTTTTTTTTATAAACTATATCTGTTCGTGTTTCTAGTCGATTCAATATGTAGTGAATAGTTTACACGAATATGATGAAAAATAATTTTAATGATAACAAAGTTAAAATTGTCATCTATCGAAGTCAACAGAAAATGTACTATTTTTAGATGCTACTCTTTGTCATCTTCTTATCTAATCTCGCATGCTAGATGCATACTTTTTCATTACTATGTTATATACATCTTATCGAATTTTTTTTGCACTATAGAATCTATAGCAAGTTATTGTTGTTCCACATGTTATCATTAGGTTTTTGCCTAATGATAGTAAAACTTTTCAATAACTGTATACAGTCGTTTTTGCAGTCTAGATAAATGCCAATCCCCAAACTCATAGGTAGTAATCAATTAGAAAAAGTCTTAATACAGTTTTCTAGAGAAAACTGGTCTGATTTTTGAGATATTGTTTGATTCAAATCAGTTGATGTGCAGAAGAAATAATAATTATATACTGAGAACAGCATGAATGAAAGAAATGAAACGAAGCTGTATTGACCCAGTGTCAAATGTTTTCTTCATAATTATTAAATGGTCACTCAGACAGGGCTATACTTGGAGCAGATAATTTCTTTTTTTCACATTCTGTTTTATTTCCCAATGATATACAGCTATATAAAAATTTTTTGTAGAAGGCGATTCCCATTTTGAGGCATGAGCTATTTCTAACCAGAACAGATGTTCATGATAAGGAGAAACAGAGTTTCCAAATGATTATTAAAAGTAGCCGAAAAACTCTTCTTAATTTTTCGATTGAACTCTGCAGAATAAAACATAGTGTTGGAATCCTTGCTCGATCACATTTGTGTCGATGAAACGCAGACTAAATGTTGCAGCTGTAGCTTTTTTGACTCTTATCTATATGAAAAATTGGTGTATATGATTGTACTTAGTGTAATTTTAATAGATCTAGCGATTTTGAGCGTTTGTTGTGTTACTGATGAGTTCAATGATATTATTGGCAAGAAGAATTCAATTTTTTAAATATCTCTGAAAATCGAGTTTTGCAGAAAATCTGTCTAAAGAAAGTACGCATTCTCGAAAAAGCTGTTCATTTAAGAATCTATTCGTCTTTTTAGTAGTTTTGAATTAGAGTATTTCAATGTTTCGTCATTCAAAACACTGGAACGGTAAAAATACGAGTTTAACTAGAAAGTCATTTAAAATCTTAGTCCGCAAATCACCATACAACATATTTAAACCTTTTAAAGATGATATCGCAATTCAGAACATCAAATTATATTAATTCAAAAGCTTAAAACGATTCAGATGTAGTCGAGTTAAAGTCATGTGCTCTTGAAAAAGAATTACTGAAGTTTACATATTGATCTACTCAATGCTCCCAGTTGAATGCATTGTTTGCATCATGTTTGGCTTCTTTCTTTACTATTTCTTCTCATCTTATGTATTGTCCTTATGTTTCTATCCTTACTTCGTATATCATGTTACATTTTGTCTCTGTCTTATTGCTCTTACTTTCTCTCCTTATTATCTTTTTTATTGATATACTTTTCTTCTCTCTGGTGATCGAGTATATAAGCGTATACTTAGTATGAAGACGATGCTATTGTTTATAAATACGACATATAATAAAGCGTAATTCCATCAGCATTAACTCTTCTTCTATCTAGAGTCGTCACAGTTTATATTATCGGGCTGTCATAAGCATTAGTGTGAGATCACTGATTATGCCAATTCTATGTACTCATCCAACGTTAAGTTATGTGTATGTTGAGAGTTCTTATAAATTATTTGACGTTCGCTTGACATGTCTTATCAGGGCATTCGTTGTCCTTTCTCGAGTCTAAATTATGTATAACCTAGATTAGTTCACTGCTAACTATGACGTAGCCGAGACGTCTGTCATTCCTCATAATTCTTCACTGCATTATCCATATCTTCCACTCAATATGTCTTCTTCCTCTCGATACGTCTTTCTTTTCTTTTGACGTACGACCTCTTTCTCTTGATATGTTTTCCTTCTTATAGTTATATATTGACTTCCGTCTCTCTCTCTCTCGCTCGGTGTTCCGTAATAAAATGTATGTTTGGTTCGGATGAGATTGATTTCTGATATAAAGAAAGAGATTCAAAGACAATTCTTTTCAGATTAACTCTTATTGTATTTGAAATTGTTACAACTGGTTTATAATTACATTAAAAGACTGATTATTCTATTCGATTATTGAACAGGTAGCAAATTTGATAACAATGTCTTCATTACCGTTAGTGAATTCATGGACTGAATGGGGCTCGTTGGAACTTGTTTGCGTAGGAACTGCTAAGGGTATGTGTTATCCGGATGAAACTCCTTCTTATCCTTGGCATACAGGTTCTCCTAGCCTACGCCCATATCTTCGATCGATTGCTGGCCCACGGCCTCGTCATCGGATTGAACAAGCACAAGCTCAATTGGACAATTTAGCTGATCTACTTCAAGCTGAGTCGATCGTAGTCGCAAATTCTATAGATGAAATATACGACCAAGATGTAGGACAAGTTCTTACTCGAAAGGAAACGTTAGTAGCTAGCAGTTCGGAAATAACAACTAACGGTCGAACTGTTCAGAAGAGCAGAATTGATGTGTGTCGACCATTGGTATCATCACTTGCAGAACCGCGTTTCGATCATCAACTAGCCACACCTCATTTTAAGTCTCAGTATCAGTTTGGTCTTGCATGCCCACGAGATATATTGATTACATTCGGTGATACTGTGGTAGAAGCGCCTACTTCTGTTCACACTCGATATTTCGAATCAGAATACTATAAACCTCTTCTTTATTCATTATGGAGACAAGATTCGAATATGAAATGGATTCAACCTCCAAAACCTACATGTTCGCTAACACTAATGTTTCAGGATGTTGACTATTGGGAAAAAATAAATACAAAAGATTATAACAAATCAATTTTTGCCAAAAGTGGGTATAAGACAAATTTAAACGAAAGCGAAGTTGCTTTTGATGCTGCTGATATAATACGTATGGGCAAAGACGTCTTTTATAAAAAATCTGCATCAGCAAATAACCAAGGTTTCTATTGGCTGCATCGTACTTTTCCTCATCTTCGTTTTCATATGATGCATTTTCCAACTGATGGAAGTTATCATTTGGATGTTTCACTTATTCCATTACGACCGCCAACATCAGGCTCTGATGGTCTTGTACTTCTTAATCAAAATTATCCACCATTGGCTAGTGAGATGAAGTTGTTTACCGATAATGATTGGCGTCCGATATGGGCACCCTTACCTGCAACAGCCGATGTTCCTCCACTAGCTTTGTGTACAGGCAATCTTAATACCAATCTCCTTTCACTTAACGATCATACAGTAATAATCGAAGAATGTGAAATACCACTCTATCAAGTTCTATACGATGAACTCGGCTTTGATGTTATCACATGTCCTCTTCGGGTACTCAATGAATTCGGCGGTGGTATTCATTGTGGTAGGAGCTATTCTCAATATTTTTTTTTGGTTATTTCACTTATGATTTTCTTTTTACTTTTAACAGTGACATGGGATATTCGTCGACAGGACTCTTGTATCGACTACTTTCCGAATCAAAATTATGAATCCGAATGTCAAATCGATCTTGACAATTATTTCGATCGAACAATATTATCGCCTGATCATAAAAACTGGCTCAGTGGAGCCAATTTATGAGTGGATATGAACTAATAAAATTATATATCGTTTTTTCTTGTTCATTTGAAATCTTAATACGGATACGCAAAAGTTTCTAATTTCTGCTAAAGTAATTATTACTAATGTGGGAAGCCATTACGAGAATGACACATATGCATACTAGTAGAATCGTATGAAGATGTCAGTAATTAATGATGAACAAAAGTAATTGACAGACAACGATGTCTGCATTTATTCATGGTCGATTTTTATTAATATCTTCAGCAGTGTTCACTTTTCGAGCGTCTTTGTGTGTGTGTATGCGTGAATGCGGGTAGGTGTGGTATGAAGCTACTGGTATATGCAAGTATAAGTATTACATTCCCAAACCGTCAAATCCTGGCCAGTGTTGCCAATTGTGAAAATCAATAATCTACAATGCAAATGTCGGAATCCGAAAATTCTTTTTCAATATTTGGAAAAATCAAAAAACATTTTCAATAATCGGCTTTAACTAGTTAAAACTACTTTTGTTTTCAACTCGATGATGAATAACACTATTTTTTATTTTTACAGAATAGCTTTTAATGAAAAAAACAAAAGAAAACACCCTTCAAAATATCAGTACCTAAAATAGTAAGAATTGTTAAAATACATATTTCGGTATAAACCAACGCATAATTTTTTAATAAAATATTTTTCGTGAGAGTACATTAATGTCAATATTTCTAGTTTTGATCATAAATAACTATAAATTTCTGCACGAAATGTAGATGATCTCAACCAGCTATTTAATCCAGCTGAAATGAGTCTTATAAATATTCGATTTTGTTGATCATTTTATAATTTTTTTATGATCAGATAGGGTGTGGGTATAGGTGTGTGTGGAGTGTGGGTATGGGTATGTGGGTGTAGGTGTAGGTATTCATTTCAGCGAGACACACCCACACTGAGACCCCACCCACACCCTGAAATCGTGCGAAAATCATAGCTTCTGCAAAATTTACATCAAGTATGGGCAGACGATTCTTCCAAGGTTGTCCCGATAATATGATCTTGGAAGAATCGTACATCAAGCCTTCCAGGTCGAAAAATCCGGCGTAAAATCCTATAAAATCTTATCATCGGATTGTTTGCCCTGAGATGTTTTGTACGATTTTATCTGATCTTACAGTATCTTACGTCTGACTTTTTGAGCTGGGAAGCATAAGATATAAAGAATGCAAATGAAAAAAAAGAGTTCTACAAATTAGTAGATGTTACGCGATGACGACAAACAGGACAGATATGTGTCCTTGATAGCCACTGATCTACACAATTTGCATGCAAGAGGTGACCACACGGCAATCTTTTTATATTTTCATTGATCTTAAAATCTGTTTGACAAATGACACTAGAAAAATATAAAACAAAATGAAAAATAAGAGATTGCAATTGAAGATTTTTCTTGTATTTTTGTTACTAACCATTCAGTTTGATTGAACTCATCGAATGTTTGACCAAAAACCACAATTGGTAGTTTATCAATAGTACTTGGTGATGCTGGAGGATATTCATAGGTATTGAAAAAACTATTTAGTATACCGTTCTAAACAAAGATAACAATAGTGGAATTTCGAATCTTTTAAAGAAGATTCACCCAAATTGCTTCTAAAATCGGAGCAACGATTGCTCTGCACACCCAATCTACAAAATAAATTAACAACACATTGAAAAGATGAAGAACAAGAAATTTAAGAGGCCATAAAACGAGTGGAGTAAAAACACGAATTAATTGCCATGTCCAAAGAGTCTTGTAGAAATTAGGAGCCGAAATTGAGCAAGATCCACCAGAACGTGGTTGAAAAAGAAGAACGGCTCCTATTGAATAATAATAGTTGATAATGACACTTGTAAAATAAGATATCGTATAATGAATAGCTGATAAATAGGTGAAAAATCTTCGAAAATTTGGCGTACTATAAAACAGTTGATTGAGAATGACAGCAAGGATAGTGATAACGATGGTACAACCAGCTAAAACAAGCCCAATGTAAGCATATGATTTAAGTGGTGCACGAAAATATAGATCTTCAATACGGGTATATACGCATTCTGTACTTTTAATTTTAATCATGGCAAATGTCACAACACCGAAATAAACACCATCGTAAATAACCGATATGAGAAGACCAAGGTATTCTCCTATTAACGATCGCTCTGTTGGAAGTGAAGGTTTTGGTGGCCAAATAAAAATTGAAATCCATGCATTAAAACACACAATCCCAAGATAGAAGCGAATAAGTTCACAGTCGTTATTTTTCGGTTTTTTCGAACTAAATACAAAGACAGTACTAACGCAAACCAATATAAATTTGAGAAAATGAAAAACACTGCGTAGATCAGACCCTTGATGATATTGACTCGAACTTGCGGCATCGAACAGAGTTGTACGGTACAAAATCAAGTTTCGTACAGAAAATAGAAGAGTAATAGCAAGTGCGATGCTATCAAAAACAAGTGTGCAAGTTGATAATATCACGAGAGCATTAGATATGCTACATGTTTCTGTACCATAGTAAAGACCAATAGTGAGAAGAACAATATCAATGATATTGTAGCATAAACGAAGTAGACAACCGGAAAATATACGGTCAAGACGAGTTAACGAATCAATCCATGTCGAAGATTGTCTATTGTCATCATCAACAGAAACTAGCATTCTGCTTGTCGGATTGATTGCATCATTGTGTATGTAAGAACTTATTCTACGAGTAACCGATACTCTGATTATATCGTTCGATTCATCAACGTTGTTTGATACCGTAGACATAGTAGATGAGCGAACTAAATATTTGAAAAAGAATATAAAAAATTTGACTTTACAGAGACCAATTATTGTGTTAAGTGAAGCGAATACTTTGTCGATAAAAAACGAATCATGAATCACAGTTACTTTTGAAAACAATCAACTATATATTTCTTTTTTTCTCTCATATACGCCCATGCTGTACATGAAAGTGAAAAATCTGATCAGTAAAAGAAGAAAAAAAAACGTGTAAAATGCACTCGACGGTTACCTGACTCAATGATTCATGCTTTGTAAATATCTATGCCCTTTACACTTTTTTCCTCACATGTGTAAATCAAGTGGTGGATATAAGTTAAAAACATTTTTGGTTTTGCTATAACTCAGCCATCTTTATAGATAGAGACCTGCTTCTTTCAGCGTTAGAAAGACACACACCCACACTGATCTGAGAAGAAAATTTTCCATGTAACAGTTCTTAGACACTTCTCTGTTGTTTGCTTACAGTCATATTTCTCTATTCTTTACAAGATAAAAAGGTACTACTGACTTCCTTTCAGTGCAATATTTACCTGATATATCTTTGAAGGATTAATATTTTTGTCTTTGTTTAAGAATAATAGGTCTTATGTTTTTGTCGAGATATAACAATCATTTTTTGTTTAGAAACATAGAAAAAGTTCATCTTTATAAAAATCGCGCTTCTATCTGTTCACTCTTGTACTACTTTGAAATCGATCTCTCTCTCTCTCTCTCTCTCTCTCTCTATTTAGTAGAAGATTCAAAACAAAAACGAGAGGGAAGAGAGGGAGTCATTATGTTGAACACTTGTTTCGTTGTCAAATAAAACTCGAATAAAAATATTTAGAATAGAAGTTGTTTGTATTCATATGCTTTAAATTAGCATCAAACATATTTTTATTTTTACTTGCTATTGTAATATCTTCTGTACATTATCTTATAATATTCTTTGATAAGTCTTTCGACAAATTCATTCAGAAGTATTCTTTTTAATTTGTATGTTCAAGATGATCGAAGAATTTAGAATAAGCTAATCGCATTCTAAATTTTCTCATTGCAGTTTTGTTCTTTAACGAAAAGAAAATTCATCAAAAAACCCAGATAAGACATTTTTCTTAAGTATATATAAATAACTCACGATGAAGAAATGATCTAACGAAAGTTAAGAATGGAAAATTAAGTTCATCGTGATTTCTATTTTAGAAATATAATTTTGTATGCGAGAACATTTTTTTTAACAGAATAAGGATCATGGATCATTTTGTATTCTTGTTCCTTTCTCTTTGTCTTATTGGTATTGCGGGTAAGTTTGATTAAAAAACGAATGTTTTTTTGTTGAAAAACTAGCATGGAATTTATTTGTTTATTGAAGATGAATCAAATATTTTGAATAAAGGTCAGTAGTTATGATATTCTTCTTTTGTTAGAAAATAGTAAGTTTCAGTTGTAAGTCGAAGTCGTTGTGGCTCTGCTCTCCCTATTACAGACCTTAACAATCAGGTTCAAAGGTCAGTCTTCCAGCTCATTGTTGACTTCAACATCCGAGCACGACAGGCATCAAACTCTTTTCCCAGAGTTTCTTAGCAATGGAAAAAGGCAGTAAACGACATTAGCAACAGGACTTAGCTTGTTATAGAACGTTTCAAAGCCTTTCTCAAACTCTGAATCACTGGAATACACTTCCACATCTTCTCCTTTTTGAAAATTTTTCTGCTTTGATTGGGTTTAGGCATGGATGGCTGTAGAATTTGGCGTGAACGATTAGAGAGCGAGTGTGAATCCTTGCATTTTTGACAGGCACAACTATACTTACACCCGTCCACACACACTGCTTGAGCGATTGTCGAAATGTGCTTTATGATGCTTTGAATCTTTCCTTCTTATATAAACTCACCGTCACTCTTTAAATACCCTTGTGGAGAAGCATGCATTTTACCATTCTGCAGTCTTTAAGAAATGCACAAGAAGATGATTGTGGCATCTCAAATCGATTTCTTTTTACCTATTCTGTTATGTTATAAAAAACAGAGAAAGAAAAAAAGAAATAAAACAGAATTTTTCCAACTTGCGTATTTTGTAAGAGTGTAATACTAATGTGACGGAAGGTCACCGTTTGAATATGTTCTCCACATCGTCGGCCATAATGAAACGGGGTATCTTCAATGATAGCCGAACTAGGAAGAAGTTTGAGTTGTCTTCAACTTCGAATGATAGTACAAAACCTTGATCATGCCCTGTTATACCAACTTTCACCGAAAATTTTAAGCTTATATGGATGGTTCCTGACATTGATAACTTTGGAGAGGTCTATGAAACATCAATCACTCTTTCCCAAGGTATAATTAGTATGACGCACACCCCACTCACACCCTTATTTCACTAATCTTGAGTGAAATTTTTTACATTACATTTTTTGAAATAAACAAAAAAATCTTTAATGTTTCAGTCGTTAAAGTCGAGCCAAATATTATTTTTTACATGTTTTTAATAGACATTTTTATATTGTTCGATAGAGTTCAACAAGCTCTACAAAAATAGGAGTATGAAGAAAAATTCGAATCCTGTTTTCAATATTAAACTCAAATGAAAGCACACGAACTAATATAAATCTCACATATCTTTCATGAGATAGTATGTTTAAGAGACAAAAACTTTAGTTGATCGACTTTTAATTGATATTTCAAGATGCAGAGTGACATACTAAACCTGAAAATAACTCTTCTGAGCTGCCTGAATTGATGAAACAGTTAACGAGCTAAAACTTTTGAAAGATCAACTTACTCTCTCTAATATTTGATATATGAAATTTGTCTTAGTTTTCTGGTTTCCTTTAAGTTTTATATTCTAAATAACACCAAAGCTTTTGTAAACATACATATTCTTGTAGAGCTTATTGAACTCTCTGGAATCATGTAAACATATCTAGAATACGATATGTCGCTTAAGATGTTACAAACATATTTTATTATTACAAAAGATGTAACGTAAAAAATTTTCACTCAAGATTAGTAAAATGACCATAAGATTGTAATAGATTTATGTATTTTGAATTATTTTTTTTAGATGATAGCTCTAATCTTCCTCTAAAAAATGACATAATTTGATTTACAACTTCATATAAGTTTGTTATAGATATCATTGATTTATTGAGAGGGGTCGAAACTTTTGAATCATCCTTTATTTTATCGGTATTTTTTCTTACATCTATAAATATCAATTGACATAATATCTCGAAGTATGACATATATACCAAAGGTTGATCTAGTACTGTACCTACCATTCGTTGAGTCAAGAAGTTCGAGAAACTATTCAAAAATTGGAATTTTTAAATTAAAATTTGAGAAAAGTACGATTTATGAACATCTTGATTAATATCAGACTAAAATCACATATTTTCTCTCTTTTACATGAATTATCTATCTTCCTATCAGTCAGTTCTCTACCATCGTTTTCTATCTTTTTCATTTGAAGATTCCTCGAATTCAAGAAAATTTTCAGCCGCCGCAGTCGAACATTTCAAAAAACAAAAAAAACTTGTCCGCCGCCGTCACCAATCAACTCGCCGTTGTACATCTATATATTCGTGGCCTGCATCAATGCCGTTCTGTGACAAATGCACACAATTATTCGTATCATTGTGTGCAACATGCATTAAAAAGCTTCTAACATAGAATATTACGATCGCTTCAATGTCAAATACTACAGTTCCATCAATTGAAACATTACCAGTGGAAATATGTCATCATATATTCGATAATCTTGATGTAAAAACAATCTTATACTCAATTCGACCAGTATCAAGATTATTTCTATCAATTGTTAATACTTATAATCGATATGTTTTGGATTTGAATTTGATTTCAAAATCAAATTTTTATCTTTTTTGTCGATTAATTCATCCTCAAAATATTATTTCACTAACACTTTCGAATAATGAACGAACATCAGATCAAATAGATTTGTTTATATCACTTGTTCATCTTCGACAATTTACTCGACTTCGTTCATTAACTCTTCTTGATATTGATGAATCGCAATTAAACTTCATTTTGAAAAGAATCAATCTTAATTTGCTCCATTCATTCTCATTGAATATTAGACAATATGCTAATAAACTCATAGCAACAACTCTAGCTCTTCTTTCATCAACTATGGCACAAACAGCTCTTCGAAAATTGGAATTCGTTACGTGGGATAGAATGCCAAAGATTTCATGGCCCATCAATAGTATAACTGAGTATTTGACTGCGAATAATCGCATAAATATAGATGATCTTTATACAATACTTCAATGTTCTCCACATTTAAATACACTCATCATGAGCGAAATTCCAAAAGGAATGATTAATAATTTAACTTCAATATGTTTTCGACAATTAACATCGTTAACTATCAAAAATCTTTCTGTCACCATTGATGAACTTGAATTATTTCTCTTATTGACATCATCACTTGTTTATTTAAAATTAATTGGTGTAGGACAAATGTTGAATGGTAAACGATGGGAGCAATTTATTGAAATAAATTTACCTGAACTGAACAAATTTGAATTTTATTTCGATGAATGGAGATTAACTCGCCAAACTTCTACAGATATCAAGTTAATTATTGCTTCATTTCAAACATTGTTTTGGATTGAACACAAAAAATGGCTTGTTGCTTGTGAATACGAACATACTAGGCTAGAGCCCAATATTATTTCTCTCTATTCAATACCAATATGCAAATCTTCTATATGTTACACGTCAAAATTGACAAAGTCATTGTTGTCCACTTATCCTATGATGATGAACAACGATTTATTAATAATGGATAACATCAAATCATTGAATTTGACTTTGAACAAATCAACAGCTGATAATATTCAAGTAGAGGTATGTTGATCAAATAAAAGGTCAACCGTTAAACAGAAATCGATAAATATAGTGAGACTAATAATTGTGTCTTTTCTATTAGTCTCTCGCAGACTCTATCGATATTGTTTTCATTTTATCTCCTTCCTGACGATTTTACGTAAATCGAAAGTACAGGCTAGGAATGTCATATTGTATACAAAAACAGACACTGAGTATTTATGTATTTGAATATTTTTAGTGTACCACAGCACATCATCCATTGTTTCGTAAAGTGACTGAAATTAATCTTGAATTTTGCCACGATTGGCCTTCGATTTCGCTACAAACACTCTTCGTTTTGATCGATATTTCACGAATAGTTCATATAACAATGTCTAGCAATTATTTAAATCAATGGAATCAAAATTTATTGATGGATATCAGAATTTTCCTGGAACAAGCACATAATCTCTTTTCACTGTTGATTCATAGCAGCTTCTACAGACACAAATCAGATTTAACTGTAGAAAATATTCATTCAATACTTCCATATCATGTTAAACACTTGCAAATTCCAATAGATGATTTGGATCAAATAAATATAGTTCTTAAACGATGTGAAAATCTATCAATAATTTATTTTGACATCGAAACTACGGAATTCTCCAAAAAAGTCATCAACTGGTTTGCTGAAAATACCATTAACACAACATGTCGAGAAAATTACAGAATGGTTACTGTTTGGCTCGGAAAGAAAAGAATACAATTAACTGAAATATGTTGTAATCACAAACGAATAAAATTTCACTAAGTAAAAATTTTGGATTGTAATTTTGAAATTAAATAAATCTGAGTATTTACACTTTCGTGCGATTCGACTTACATAGATGTAGATTATCTTTTTTTTTTTTGATTTGATGGTTTATAAAGATGAAGTCAGTTCATATCAGACTCTGACACATTATTAATGAAAGTTAGAGAAAAATCCATGACTCAAGTAATTCAAAAATGATTCATAAAATTATCAAATAATTGCTTTAAACACTGATGAAGACAGAAGAAAAGTTTAATATCTGCATTGAAAAAAATTTGATATGTGATGATAGAAATGGTAGATATTTGTCAAATGATGCTTCTTGAAAGTACAAAAGAATGATATGTTCATGAAAAACAGAAAATATAAGTATCATTATGATATAAATGCGATTTCTATAACAGAATCAATACTATCTACTGACACATAACATATAGCAACTCTTTGAAAAGTTTTTGTTTTGGTAGGAAATTCGCTATTGATAAAATTCATTTAGATGTAACATAAAATTAACTTCTTTATAACTTCGCTGTAGTGAACAAGTTAATGACCGAATACAAGCTAGAGGTTCAAACAGATCTACTTTTTGTAGGTTTCGTCTGTTTAACTTTCGCAGGCTCTAAATTTTTTTTTTACATCTTAACATTATTATGATATTTGAATTAGAATAGAAGATCGTTTTTATAAGAAAGCAAAGAAATTATCCAAATCGAAATGAGATGATTAGACGAAGTATTCAAATGTACATAGTTCAACTTCCATTCATTTCGATAACTATGGAAATATATATTTGTCACTGATCCTTTCAATAATCGCATTTAATACTTTTTTTGGCAACAAATTCGTGTAGTATGAGTTCACATACATAAGAGGTTTTTGTTTTTTTGAAAGTTTTAATGGAAAAATCATGAGATATGATAAAAGAATAATTGAAAAAAAAAATCTTTTAAATTATTTCTCAGCAAATATTACATCGATATCTGAATTATCATCATTATCATTTCCAATTGAAAATAAACGAACTGAAGATGTTTATATTAATTAAAATATTCAATTCCATTGTGATTAATCTTTTTTCGATAATCATTTAATGGACAATTTATAAGTGTACTCTAAATTATTCATATCAAATAAATATTGATTAACTAGGGTCGTTATGATTTTTCCAAATATTGTAGGTATATTAATTGTTAGAAGTTCAAAACTCAACTAATACATCATGTAAAAATAATCAAAGATTAACTTTTTTTCTTTAATTATGTAATAAGAACAACAAAACGATTTTTTCACTAAAATCCTCATTAATAATTTTTGAAGGATCATCTCAACCAAATTAAACATATTGATGATCTATGGTTTATATTAACAAATGTTAAAATTCTACATAAAAATAGTATTGATTATTTACTCATTCATGTTTACGATTCCTATTCTTCTATAATAACAATTGGTTAAAAATATTTTTATTTGACCTAGTTGCATTATTTCAAACAGTATATGTTTGAAATGAGGAATTTCAATCGATTAATTCAGTAACAGAAATTGCTTTCTTTTCTATTGATCTCAATGATTATTTTTCAGGTGAAAATATCGAATGGAAAATTTCTTGAGATTCAATTAATCTAACTTTGACATATCTCTGAATGCAATTCATTCAATCAAAATAGTTCACTTTTTGATTAGTTTCGATTCGTATTTTTCTTGTTTAGTTTATTATTTGAATTATTTTAGGTATAAATATAGATTATTTTTCTGCTACAGATAAACTATTTTTAATAATCTTCATATTGAATATTAGCAATTTGAAATTCTTTTATAGATTTCAAAGAGAAATAAGTTCGAATATAATTAATTTTATGATTAATAAATCTTCATCATATGGTTTTTGCCCAATTCAACTTCATCAAGGAACAAGAATAACTTTATTTACTATTTGTTATTCAAATTAGTCTGTTAAACATGAAATGAAAGATTAGATATTTTGTGCTTCGTTTTTGTTACATTTCTAGAAGGAAAATTCAATTTTATTTTTATTTTTTTCTTATTTCGGACAGCAGATTTTTTTCATAATGAACAATGATTGAATTTAGTTTAATATCCGATTTAAAGTTCGATTACTATCTGGAAATTATCAAATTTCATTATTAAATATCAATATTTATATTCTAGATTAACCATCTAAAACTGATGATCTTGAATAGAAATTCACAAATAAACATATAATTGTCTTGTATATAAATTAAAATATTTATTTTTATTTTAGATTTCTTCTTTAATAAAATTGATTCGTCACAAAAAAAGAATTGCAAAACAACAGAATTTTTATTATTAAAAACAAATGACAAAATAAAATAAATAGTTACGAGAGTGAAACTCAATTATTATTAACTTTATTGTTAAATAATCATATAAATATTGGTCAAAATTCTACAATAAATGCATCATAAGTCTTTATGTCATTAGAAACAACATTAATTATAGCGAGAGTTTGGTTTTGGGTGCTTGTGTTGGTTGAAGGAACAGATCCACTTGCACACAGTCATACCCTCAAGAGCAATGTAGCATAGAAGAGTCCATCTTATTGGAATGGACGACAAAATAATTATATACGCATATGGTGACTCATAATGACAAAGAGTAAAGAACAAAGTGTCGATGATTTAGGAAGGAATGATGAAAGAGCGATAAGAAATAAAACATGTGTCCAATGATTCAGGATTGGAAATAAAATGCATCAAAATATTAGTACTTGGATTCTCAGATCAAAAAGCATATTTCTACAAGTATTTAGTTTTTCAGTAACTGTCGTGATTTTTTCAGATTCGACAGGATAATCTGTAAACTTGATAAGTTCTCTGCAAAACTATTAGAATCTATACGATCGGACACGATCTTGAAAAAATGTCTTTTTGTTTACCTTTCTATATTTGATATATGTATGCAATGCATTATTCGCTAATTATCGTTGTTTGAAAAGAAAATTGGAGAAGAAATACATTGTCTATAACCTATCAAAACGTTCGTACAGTAGTCATTATTTGCCATAGTTCCGATTCAATAAATAATAGTCACAAGCAGTATACATATACAACATTTGGTGAACCAAGGATCATGTACAGTCGATAACTAATGGAAAAATGCTCGATTGAGCAAACTATAAGGCTTGTTTTTAAAACAACTTAGAATAATAGCATCTTCTTTATTAAAGAATTATAAAAATTTTGCATATCGCACAATGTCAAACATTTCTGTCTATTATTCAGTTAGTAGAAGCAACTAGTGTTGTCTATCATCAGCTGGTGGTTGCGAAGTCGTTGGTCTATTACCATCATCAGTTATGGTTTGTACCGTTGGAAATTCCACTGACTCTAAGGTTTTGTACCCATGCCAATGTCCATCTCTCCAATAATAAACTTTTTCTTTTGATTTACCATGTTGATAAACGAAAAACTGGGGATCTTCTTGCGAAATAGTTTTGTAATATTCAATGTTGTTTTCTTGACAGACTTGAATATTTTCATTTGGAAAGTCTTCTCTCAGCTTTTCCAGAGTTGTTAAACGTCCTGTAGCTATCACCGTTGCATTATATTTTTCACCAGTGTATCGTATAATGCATACTTTCTCGTTTGTAATGGGAACTCCGAGACTACGATCTATATCGTTGTTTCCTGTTGCCATTCTAAGTTTGAATCTTGAGTGAAAATGGATTAAATACGTTTTGGTGTAAAAGTAAAACATTGCAACCTGAGAATATATAGAAAAGGAGAATGTTGGATTTTTCCATGTAGATAAAAAAATATTTATTTTTAACCTTAACAATTGGAAATTTCCAAGTTATTATCAATCTTTATGCCAAATATTGCCGATAAAACGTTATTACATGCATTATAACCTTTTCTTTTGATAAAGTGATAGGCATGCACTTTTTGTTTCTCTCTTCCAGCTGTAGTTTGACATCATAAGACTAAATCACCGTGTTTATTAGAAATGTCAACATGTTTTTCTGATTGAAATGGAACAAACAACATAAATGAAAAGTCAATGCTGAGACTGTGGTCTCTCACAGTCCACTCTTCAAATAAGGATGTGGGTGGGGGTGGGATGTTAGCGAAGGTCAAATAGATTACAACACCCACACTCACCTTTGGAAACACGATCAAAGTGTTATCTTCTCGGTTCTTTTTATGCGACTAAGATTAAAAACAAGAAATGCTTAGTTCACAATCTTTCTTGTTGTGCTGTTTTTTTGCGTTTTAACTCAAAAATTTTCATTGAATTCAAAGCTTTACCTATGAATTAAAAAGAAACATAATGTTTCTGGATCGATTAAATGTATCTAATAAGTTTTCTGTACAAGTCCCTATCGGTATCTATTATCATAATATGAATATTATGATTATCACTCTTTACTCAATAAAGTTGTATCTATTTTCTCGAAATATGATAGAGTTGGGTGTGGGTGGTATCGAGACTTGAATGGGTGTGACTGTAGTTTTTCTGATCAATAAAAACGGACCCACAACCATACCTTCATCAGCAGCTACACATACATCCAGTCTGAATATGAATATGGATATGAGTATGAATGAAGGAGACACTCACAAACAACTTAGATGTTTGAACTATTATTTTGAAATCTTTTGATTTTGAATGTATTTATTGATTGAAATTAAGCATTATCAACTATTGAACCCATAAATTACAGATTATACGAGCATTGAATGATCGAAAAGTTATGTTATGTCAATCAATAATATTGGTATTCATATGACTATATTAACACTTCCCATCGAATCGTAACCCATTCGTTAGGTTGATACGCGATCACTAACATCTTGACGATGCGCTCGAAACTAGTTTCAGGTTGTTCTGTAATTCTGAGAAGATAAAAATGTCCTTGTTTAACAGAGGCACTTGCTCCTGATCTTCCTTCTCGGAACAGCTCTGCAGATTCTTCCATTGGCTGAAAGTTGTTGCTATATGATCTACCCTTAAGAATAAGAATTGTCTTATTTTTCCGATGGATTGATGCGAATCCTTGGCCATTTCCTCCTGTCTCGTCATATTTATACTTCTTCTGTAAATCTGCGCTAGTTCCCAGATCGATGATTGTTCCAACTTCACGACCTTCTATACCGACACTAAAGCTACCATTTTTGTAATTGTTGAAGTCAATATCACTGCGTCTGTTGTAAACGCTCCAGTCTGAAAACATCTGACCATACTTTTCGTCACCGAAGCAGAAAGTGCGGGCGAGTGGATCCAGTGCATACAGAGTTACAATATTCTTATTTTGCTTAGAGCTATCGTGTGTAGCATTTGTAACAATTTGCCATTTTTGAATTTTTGGATAAGCAACAATATAAAATGTTCCAATCATTAACAAAACAAAAACCATGGTGCAAATTTGTAAACCAATCAGCCATTTCATTTTCCATTGGTCACTTTTCTTCTGCAATAACATCACATCTTCACGATAAGCAGAATTAATTATTTTTTCTGTGTTATCACTTCTCGCAAAAGTCATTGCTGATTCTTAAGACGACAAAGAAAAAACGATCCCTTTTATTATACTTGATAGAAAATTAACATTACTCATATCTTATCTCTAAATGCGTCACTATGCTTTAAAGAATTGCATAACCGAAACGATTGTAACAGATAAATAGTTTCGTCATACATTTACATCTCTTAAATTTTAGTGTTACTTTATCTTGACTCTATGAAATAAATGTAACTACAACTCTTATATTTATAAAATAGAGATAAATGAATTGTTTATTTTCAAAAACAACGAATAAAAAAATTGTTTTCTTTGATAGATAAATAGACGAATATCTGGTATAACAACAGTATATGCTGGCCAATATCCTTTACTAACACTAACATCATTTCGACGTGTAATAGTCAGACTAAGACTTTCTTTTATTAATTTCGAGATTTTGAAAAGAGTTTTTTTTGCTGTTTTCTTGACCATCCTATTCTTTGCATCGAAGAGTTACTATTATCTCGTCATTTTTCATTTTCATACTTTGTTTTTCTTAATTCAACATTACTATCTTCCTAATCACTGATGTAAGAGATGTGGGTGTGGGTAAAGAGAAGACAAACACTCATATCTACATCCACAAGTTGAAATATGGAAATTGAAATTTTTCTATTGATTTCTACTCACAAACTGCAAAATTATTTTAAAAAAAAATAGGTATCAGCTGAATCCATATGGCTATACGAAGCGAGACACGATGCAATAGGGATGTACTTTGAATGTTACAACGAGATATTATTCGTATACGGCCTATGAAAATTAATGAATGAAACGAATTGCAAAGCAAGATAGATTTTGTCAAGAACAATAATGAAATATTCGCTATAGTATATGGCAAATAGTTCAAATCTTTTGAATAATTTGCATGTGCTGCAATGGTCGGGTATAGCAGAATAAAAAAAAATGATTGGAATGAGCGATAGATTTCTAATTCATAACAAAATCAATAATCAAAACTTGGATATCAAACGCAAACGACGAAACTTTTCAGTTCTACTTATCTTTAGAGGGAGATACACGAAAAAATCACATAGTCATCAAGAACCAGATGCAGGATTTCTATAATAAATTATCAGACTTATGTGACAATTTAGTCTAACTATTCGCTTTTTTATTAAAATGATTAAATAAACAGAAGAATAGGAAAATTTTTCGTTTAACAATTATTAAAAAGAGAAAAAATTCTAATAAAAGTTCTCGAAAACCGTAAAAAGTTTCATAACAAACTTTCAAACAGCCTCCAACAGTGCTTTCTTTCGTTTAGGCCTTATGAGCTTGTCGTTGCTTGATTCACTTCCCAAACAAAGAGCATAACCGAAATGACAATATATACATTTAAACGATTGAATTCCACTGTAGTCTCATTGTACTTTAGATCAATAACACAATCTTCCGAAGTTTCTCGACCCTTTAATCCAAGAAAAGAATAATCTCTTCATTTTCTTATTCCGAATAAAATTATTTGGTTTGATAGTTAGACTTCGATTCTCATCCTCTTCTCAAACGTGTCTGCAGAATTCGATCAAACGATAGCACCTCCTGATGATCTATACATGCACAGTCTTCAATTAACTATAAAATCAAACTAAAGATCCATTCTCTATATCCGAGTTGACGAAGAATAAATTTGAAAAACATTCTCCAGCTTGTTTAATGAAACATTACTTGGAAGAAAAAAGACTTCATTTTGTTAATTCCGAAATGAAAGTGGATACCTATTCACACTAAAATTAATTTTATAACTTTGAATGTTTGCTCAATATATGATATAAATGACTGTTGATCAACGTTTCTAGTTAGGTTGAAGGAGAATCAAACAAATAATTGTTGTATCACTATAGATGAAATATTTCATGAAAACTTCTGCATATGTCATTGATAATTCATTCTAGTTGAATAAAAATCACTATTAGGTTAGCTATTATCACCAAACCATATTGTCAATTGAAAGCTTGATTTTCGATAGACAAATTTTCGTTGCTTCAACTTCAGATGTCGTATAATTTCTTCCCAATTCTTTCATCTTCTTTCCGGAATCAAACTTTTTCGCCATGCAAATATTATACTCCACCGATTTTTAAATCTATCAACAAAAGTCTTCATCATTTGTGAAATGTGATGAAATCATCGAACACATGTTGTTGACATTTAACACTTGATTATTGCAGCAACTAGATCTGACTTTTAAAAAGTATAGATTTACAGTCTGCTCGAGCAGCGTCTTTATTTAAATGGATTTATTTGACATGAGTTCGAAAAAGTCATTGTAGAGAAGCTTAAGTGTTGTAATACGTGAAAGATTGATCATTTTTGATACTAATTCACTTCCATTCGATGGCCAATCGTTGTTAGAATAAATTCTGAGATTAATGACGTTCGAAAACAGAAAATTATCTGATATATTTACCTAGATAATGGGATAGAGAAAGAAGAAACATTAAATGATTTTTTTGTTGTTGGTATGGTACAAAAAATTTATTTGATCGTTTTTCAGTCAGAAAAGATAATAATACTGATTAAAGTGTGAAGGAAGTTGTTGAGAACGTTCTGAAATTTGTACCGATGTGATGTTAAAAGAATTATGAAAATTTCAATATAGATCTCGGCAACTACCCAAAAAAAATTGAAACAAAAACTGGAGAAATGAACAAGAGTTACGTCGTCTAAAATCGGAGCAACCAAGCTATACTTGTAGTACGAGTAAACTATGCGTAATTCTCACATTTTTCTTTCCAGAAAAGTCAGTTGAGATAATTCCAATTATGCTTTCATAATGACTATAGATTTGAATAATATTCCTGTTAAAATCGAACATTTTTCTTTAAAAGCCCATTTTTTCCTCGAAATGATTATTGTTTTCCGAAAAAAGTCACAATAATTTTTCGTTGACGTTTGTCCAGTGATTTTATATTGCAGGTAATAAATGTTTTAAGACTGATGGAAGGAAGGGAATCAAAAATGGAATATGTAGATATAATGGTTCTCTTCATGAAAACGCACACTCGGTCTCTTTCACTCTGTAGGTTCGCTATAAGTTGATCTTTAATTCATAATAAATTCTATGAAATCATGGTCGAAAGCTTTGAAGAAGCTATTCTTAAGCTGACTCTGACATTACTATGAAGTATAG